AGACCGGCCCAAGGGCGGCGGCAGCAGCAGCGCTTGCAGGTGCCGGGAAGCCATGCAGCACGTGGAAGGCTCCTTTCCCTCTCCCGTCCTTTCCAGGGGCTGCACCCAGCGGGTGCCTGAGCCCACCCAGCGTTTCCAGGAGCAGCAGGGGACCTCCCGGTTGCAGCCTGCACCCTACCCTTATGCTGGCTCTGAACTGGTGACCAGGCTCCCTCCCAGAGCCACAGTCCTCACCCCCCCTCTCCTGCACCCAACACCCTCCCCCAGCCTGGAGCCCCTCTTGCACCCGGAGTGTTGGTGTGGAGGGCATGAGGTGTGGACTTTGGGAGCGTTTGGGTGTGCAGGGGGGAGGAGGGTGCTGCAATTGGAGGCAAACTCCCTCCCAGAGCTTACACTCCTTGCTCCTGTACCCCAAAATTCTTCCCTAACCTGGAGCCCCCTCCTGCACCTGAATTCCCCTTATGCCCTCCATCTTTACCTCCTCCTGCTCCCCTACTACAGCCAGGTCAAAGTGGGAGGGGTTGGTGTAGGTGTGCTTTGGGGAAGGAGCAGGGTAGATCCTAGACTGCCAGGTTCAAGATCTGTCTTCTAGGAGGAAGGACCAAGCCAATCAATTGCCTGATGGCTCATGGTTACTAATTTGCTCAAGTGTAGCTTGACTTCATCTGGCCCTTCTAGGGGATGCCTGGCTCAATTTCAGCCTGTTGCGCAGCCTGTGTTGCGTCCTGGTCCTTTCGAACACATACGATGTTCTTTGCCAGACCTTGGCCGAAACTGCTGTGCAGCCTTGCTCTGATGGGTAGTGCTCCACCCCAGAGGTGGCTGTGTTTCGGGGTAGACGGACGTGTGGCTTGTGGAAGCCTTTCGAGCACTTTTCATCCTGAGATCTTCTGTGGCTGTCCAGAGTTAGCTTTTATTATTTGGCAAAGGCTTTCAATAACAGGGGTGTCAAATGTCAGTTGCTGTTGATGGAGTTCTCTACTCGAGCGCTGAGTTGTTTGGCTGTTCTTGTCTTGTGGGAGAATATTGTGTGTGTGAGCGTCTATAGTCAGATCCATTGGCTAGAACACTGTAAGGCCTGTCCAAACTGCTTCAGATTTGGTCAAACCAGCCTCTGCTGGCCACAACTCCCTGGAAACACATTGTGTTTTTTTTTTTTTTAGGGGGGTGGGGAGGAGTAAGCTTCCCCTAAGCTTTACCAAGTCAGCCATCCATCTGCGTTCTAATCACGCGAAGACACCTTACATTGGGGCTGGGGAGTCTACCAAGGGAAGGGGCGGGTTTTTCCTAGTCTGCAACTCACAACTGGTAAGTTTCTGGAAGAGGCGGTTTCCCCAGACAGATTACTGGGCTCCATGCTGGTTTCTGAGCTGTGCTCTGAGAGGCTGGACTCGGGTCTAATAGTCCCTTCTGGCTAGACCCCTCTAGGAAACATCAGCTTCCTCTCCCTACCACACACCCTGTCCTTAAACAGCTGTCTGGGAACCTTGGTTCCAGCTTATGAGTTCTTCCGGCTGCGGGGAAGGGGAGGGGGGATATCCTGTGTTAGTCTGCACTTCTGTGAGGGCAGCTGAGGGTGATGAGAAGTTTTTTCCCTCTTAGG